CCCTTTATTGGTAGTAGAAACATGACATTGTGACGCGTATTGCGAGGCAATGTCCAGGCAATACTTCTATTCGTGTAATTTACTGTGGCAGGGCCTTGCAAAAGCTTTTGCTGTTGCACCAATGGGCAGGCGCGTCCGGGGAAATATCACGTCCTTAAAGGAGACCGGCGTAATGTGGGAGTCAATTTCGCGTTACGTCTGGTGTGTGCGGTGACCGGGGCAGTCTTTTTTAGAGGTTGTCAACGCATCTGCTAGCCATTAGCTGCTAGCTGCTGTAGGCGTCCATGGGCGGCGGTGTTCACTTAACGTCAGGTGAACCGCCTGCTCGCTTGACAAATTTTCACATAAAAAAATACTTTTAATGCACACTCTCATCACGATAAAATTGAGCCGTCTAACAAAGGAGCGATCGTGAAGTGATCGTCTCGCGACAATGAAGCGACCGTGAAGCGACCATGAAGCGAACGTGAAGCGATCGTTAGTCGCTAACTCGACGCCGCCCGCCGTGCGGTTTGACAATTGCAATTTAATTTCCGTGCAATTAACTAGAGTTAGTGATAATAGCGAGAGCGTAGTGGGTCGCGCGGATTTAGGTGACCGAGTTAGCGCGCGAAACGATTACGAGTTGTAATCAAAATTGTTAGCACGTGGCACCGATAATTAAGAAAAAACAATGTGTCGTTTATTCGCCAACGCGTTTTTTCTTTCGGCCGACCTCAAAAGAGGTTCTCAATTCGGTTGTATTTTTACTCGTATAGAACACCGTCATTTATGAACCGATTTAAAAAAAATTGTATTGTTTGTGTCCGGTTTATCTCTCTTTATATTAGACTTACTTCAGAAAATGAATGAAAATGAAATAGAAAATGTATAGTGAGATATTTGAAGACGGTTATTTCAGGTTATTTATATATAAATACTAGCTGTGCCCGCGACTTCGTCCGCGTGGAATTATAAATAAAAAAAAATCTAAAATAAAAGTAGCCTAAGTTACTCCTTATTTCATTAGCTATCTGCCAGTGAAATTCTCGTCCAAATCGGTCGAAAAAGATAAATAACTAAATAATAGATAAATAACCTGAAATATCCGTCTTATAAATAACGGTTATGTTATTTATTTGGCATTTTTTATTATTTCGTAGTTCGTAAAACGTTATAGGTGGTATGGTTATGGAAAGCATTCTTAATAATCTTATCTATAAAGTATTAACTAATGCAATTAAGTAATACCACATGAATTCACTGATATCGCGAGGAAACGAGAAAATCAGTTTCGATGAGCTAATGTTATGGAAAAATTAGTTTATTTTAATTACTGTAATAATTATGATCTTAAAATAAACGGGACACTGGTATATTAACAATAAAACTACTTGCTAGGATAAAAAAAAACATGTTATTTAAAAATATTTTACGAGAATTCGTAGCAGAATAAATTACGTAAAGCAGGTAAACACAAATAAACTCATTGATGTACCAAGCTGATACAAGAGTCAGTTATCTATTCGGAAATACCGGTAATATCGTATGAAGCGTTAAAATATTTTTAAGACACGCGTCAGAGGCTCGCTTATTTATCGTGCGTGAACGAGAAAGGAATTTCGAATTTGTACCATCATCCATTGCAGATTTCACCCAAACGCGGCACAGTATTGTATTGTTCGCATCACTTATCTCGGACGGAAAAACTAATAGAGGGATTTGCAGGCGCTCTTTGCGCGCAAATTGCGAAACAATGAACGGACAAAACAAACGCGGCGGGTGAACCTTTTTGACAGATAATCAGAAGTTAATCACAAGCCGCGGGTTAGTGCCAATGGGCCTTTAATATCTGTGATTCGAATCATGTCGTCTCGCTGTCTGTCTGTTCCTATGTATGCTTAGATCTATAAAACTACTCAACGGATCTTGATGCGTTTTTTTTTTTACTAAATAAGAGTGATTCAAGAGGAAGGTTTATATTTATAATATATATATTTATATGTATAATGTACATAGCACCCGTGCGAGCCGGGGCGGGTTGCTAGTACTGACTAGAAGTAAAGTTGCAGCCTAAAAATTACCCACTGCTGGGCAAAGTCCTTCTCTGTAAAGATGGTATCAGGGCATAGTCCACCACGCGATCCCACTGCGGATTGGCGGACACATATTTTGGAAATATTTTATTTATTATTACTTCGAAACCATGCAGGATTCCTCACGATGTTTTCATTCGCCGCTGAGCAAGTGATAAAAACTAGCTCGAACTTAAATCTAGGCTTCGACTACACAAACGCTCTTTACTACTTTCGTTTTTTCACAAAACGTAAGACATAAATGGTATAGCAGATGGTCGGCAACTATGTTTAGTAACCTTTACGTATTTGAGTAGAGACCTTTATATAGACATAACGCGTCATTAAGGACTGGTGCACACGTATCTTGGAAATAGTGCCTTCTGGTGTCTTACGCTAAACATTGTCAAATAAAACTTCCTCGCCAGGAATTAAAAACCGCAATTAAACGAGAAAAAATTCGAAAAAAAAAGTTAGTTTTGAACAATATCTTAATTTTTTTGTCTGTGATATTTCTTAGGTATTATGTAGGTTTTCTTAAGATGTTTCTGAATGAGCGTCGAACTTTCATTATGGTGCGGCATCTTTTCAATTTGGTTCCAGGTAAAGTTAAGGCAACATGACTAGAGACAATTCAAAAGCAAACGAATCGATATTGGAGTAGTAAGGTGACCTATGACGCCCTATTACTCACTTCGAGCGGAGTGCTATTTTTAATTAACAGCTCTTTTATCACGCTCTTTTTGTATTATTCATTTATTTATTTTATATACGTCCACATTAAAAATATTAAACGGGCCCAAAGCTACAATGGAATTTATTATAAACTCAAAAGAGTTTTGTCTTACTAATTTTAAATAATTATGTAAATTATTTACAATTAGTTAGACAAAATCATTTGTTATTATAATTCACCCCGATTTTTTAACATATGAAATTGGCGTTCAGTCGAACTGGCCACTCTGATCTCAAACATCTGATGTTTGGCTACGAATTCCAAATTCAAATTTATTTAAAAAAAGACTTGCGTATCTGTATTTCGAATTTAGTGATTTGTTTGTTTTGACGCCATTCGATTTTTCCTTGACGGATCTGCCTGCTCACGATATGAGAAACCGGTACCGCATGAATTGAGTGAAGCACACCAACAGACACGCATTGAGCGCTGCGTTAGATTATTTAACTATCACAATAACGAAGGGAATTTCGAATACTATTGTGAATTGAGGTGAATAATGGATCCTATACAACAATCGGAAACGCTCATCACAGTGGTTCAACTTAGGAGCCGGCTAAATCCCGTCCCAGGCGAAAGTTAAATCAGACAAAAGGTACTGGTGCGTGTTTCGTGGACCAGTGCTGGTATAATACACTACAGCTTCTTAGACGATTACTGCAGATATGTATTGTCAACAAACCATGATGGAAAAGCTTGATATAACAACAGAGTCTAGTCAATTGCACTAGCTGACTGCTTCGGGACAAAGCTACCTCACACTTCACCACAGACGGTCGCTAAATTAGTATGGGTTGGAATGTCTCCTACACCGTCCGTCCTATTCATTTCTGATAGGGCGGTTTAAACCACCTTCATAAATTTTATCAATTCTCCCACATTTTTTTCAGGAATGAAATCAATGTATTACCTATAAAATGGCCAAAGTCCATATAATAGTAAGTACATACTTCGATGGATAAAATATATAACTTAATAAATATAAATAACTAAATAATTTCCATATAAAACGCAAATTTCATAAGTAAGGATCTAACACATGGGTTGACTAAAATGAAAACCATATCAATGTGTTAAAATTCACCAGAAAAATAATATGTCCACATAATGTTTAGTCCGCCTAAAAAGCCGCCTTAAAGGCTTCTAGTACCAGTGTCTGCTTTCAACAATCGAAAGTTAGGACTCAAAGGGTAGACGAAGACATTGCATGAACTTGATCGGTAAATTCCTTACTCGGAATATTAATATTAAGAGTCCTTTGTCTTGCGTTGTGTCAACAATGTCTAGACATCTGTGCAGACTATTCGAGCTTTGTCCGTCTAGTCAGTCAGACGGCGAAAACCGTCATTCACGAGAAGCCGAAACCTTTCAAAGATATACTTCATAGGTCTTTGACCGGATCGCCATATTACAATTTTTTTGTAATGTTGAATAAAAGAATTGTGTTTTATTATATTTTATATGATGGTTATTAAGGTTTTTTTTTTATTTGTACGTATAGTAAATATATAAGTAATTCAGTGTATCGTACAGTTTCTTCGAATACGATCGGATGGCAACCTAAAAGAAATAAACGATTAATCACGCTCTACATATGAGCGGTTATAGTGACGATTGTATGTTCTACTAGAAACCTCTGACACCTAAATCGGTTAGAGAAGTCATTGTATGGAATTCATAGCATTTTTGTAAACAAATACCGAACTTCAAATAGGAAAACATACTAAACTAATCGAGAAACTCCTTTTTGAAGTCGGTTAAAAAGTTAATATTAAGCTGTTAAAAAAGTGGAAAGATTTTTTCACTTTAGGGTGAATTTACGTTAAATTTCACACGAACATGTCGACATTTCTCAAACCGGGTGTCGTGCGTTCAAACTTCGAGACCTTTGGTTAACACACTGACTCACCTACAAGCGGGGCCTGTGCTGACAAATGTGCTCACACTGCTAGGCGGGAGCTACAGATGATGGGTGTTGCGTAACACGGAAAGCGAAAAAAAAATTAATGTCTCAAGCACGGTGAAACCCACATGCAAACATCGCCAGGTTCAAACACACATGCCAATAGTAACGAGACCTTGTTATCCGTTATCCAACATTCAAGATTAACACGAAACGAGTTATGGTGATTGTCTGTGAGTTATCTTTTGTTTTAGTTTTGCATTTGGTTATGTCAAACGAAGCTAAGCGTATCTCTGTGATGTTCTACCTTCGTTCGGTGGCTTCGTTTGACCACTGTTACTTTCTGTATGCGCTAGGAGCGTCGTCTTCGACTTCTCCAGAGGCCTTCGCGCCTTTAGAGGGGACTCCGTGGGTTTTTTGTCGCTCTGTTCGGGCTCACTCTCTACGCCCAACTTACTGAGGGCGACAAGGTTGGCTACATTGGAGACAATACAGGTTACTTCAATTAAACCTTATCACATCAACGTTAAAGTTCAAAATTCAACTGTATGTATGGTGTGAGGAGTGTCCACAAACAAAAAAAATTTAACAAAGCAATGCATGCAGGACATACAGCCAATTTCGTGAACGTAACAAAAGAGGCTTAACGAGTAGCTGGAAAAAAAAAGTAAAATGTAGCGGTGGTGAATTTCGGAATGATTTGGCAATTGAAAATCAAAAGAATAAAGACAACACCATTCGTACCGAGGAAATGCAAACGGTCCTTTGCCATTCCTAAGTTGGTTTTCATCTTATCGTGCAATCTCTGCGCGCGCTGCCAGGCGTCCCCGCGCCCGCCCCAGCAGTCAACGGCTATACCCCTCTCCAGCTCATAGATACCTTTCTTGTATAGCTCTATCGCTAGCTCTTTCTGACCTGTACCAATCGGTGTGGGACAACATCATTCTCACTGCACAATAGTTTGTCTTATATACAGTGAGGTTTCTAGGCAGGTCATTCAGACTTAACACGGAAAGCTGTGGGCTGCTAAAGTTAGTTTCAGAAAAGTGAAAACGGTAACTTGTTATGTTGCTTATCGCCTATAACTGGAAACACTGAAGGCTGCATGATAATAAACGTTCATTGAATGGAAAGCATGTATCATGACATGGTCAAGGCATCTAATTTAATGTCTAGATACTAACTTCGATTATGCCAATAATGATAGCCGAAAAGCAGTAGTTGCGTAAACAGCATCTTCCAATGACAAATATAAGCATATGTCCAAAAGACAGAACCAATCAAAATAAAGTATTAATACTTTAATAATGTAATAAATAATAAGAACCTAGCCACCACCATTAAAGTAGGCTCTGACTATTTTATCAATAATATTTACAAAAAATTTAGGTAATTTAAATTAATTTCCTAAAACAATGTTCGGATTTAGAGGACAGCAAGTAATAGTAAATTTTTGTAACAGTAAAATTGACAGGATCAATTTAATTTTTTTTCTCATCTAAATGACATCTAACCATTATGGAATATTAAGTGATATAATATATCATGAAACATTAAATAATATTGATTGAAATATCATAAAATATATAGCTATTGTGAATCGGAGACCCAACTAAAATAAACTTCTCGGGCTGTCAATTATCTTACCTAACATTCTGCAGAGCTGTTTGTTTTATAATTGATTGCATGAATTACTTATTTGCACACATTTACATGACTTGTGAATCTTCAAGGTCAACTTTGCATAAGGCTTTGTCATATAATTCGTTCTTTATTTTGTAATTCTTATTATTTTTATAACTCTTTCTTTTCTTTCTCACTTCTATGACTATGTAAAAATTTTTATGAGAAAAAGTTGATTATAGATTGATTGAAACCAACTCAAAGAAATGTCTTAATAAATAAATGCTTTTGAGATAATCACACATTAAAATATTGTAAAAATGTTGAAAAATTACCCAAAAAGTCAAAATAGGTTCTACTTTTGAAGGATATACACTAGAAAAAAAAGCCATTGCTATGTTGATTACTTGCAAAGATAACTTACTGTTATTTTAACATCTTCAAATTTAAGGATAGCTTTATGACTCTTACAACATAAAGCTCAATTTAGTTGTTCCTATTAAAAAGTTAATATTTTATTCACCAAGAACATAAAAATATTCATAGGATGCAAAAGTACTATTTTAGATCATTATGAAATTATATCCATTGATTTACTTTAAAAATGTGCTTTTCTGATTTTGTAATATTTTGTTAGGCTAAAAGTAGTTTATTCAATTAAGAACAAAATCAAGAAAACAATAGGTTCTCTTTTAATTCATATTGAACCCATTGTTCTACTGATCCATTGTTCTGATTTACATCAGAGGCAATTGATAAATATTTAATAGTAAAAACTCACCCTCGTTTTCCTCATCAATCTTCAAGGCTTTTGAAATATACTCAAAAGCCTTGCGATGGTGATGCTTCTGCTTAGCAAGCAGTGGGTCCCCAGGCCCCACGTTATGTGTATGGGACATTTCGTCCTGCGCAATTTCCGTCGAGATCACGCCGTCTTTTACCACTACTTCCAGGTTGCACACGCCGTTTTTACGAGGCTTGTGCATAAACCGGTGTGATGCGGAGTACAGATACTTAAAAATTATAAACAACTGATAGAGAATGGATCTAAGGACGTTGAACAAAATGATGATGGGGTAAGAGACGACGTAAAGGTTCCGTTTGTGAACAGAAGGTTGCGAGTCATGTCGCAACGCTGATCCCTTCGCTAGGTCCGCATCCGTCTTCTTCGATTTTCGGTTCGGAGACCTCGTAGTTTTTCGTGATAAACGACCACCATTGGAATCGTCACCCGAAACCATCAAGAACACTAACGTTCCCACGAGCTTAACACGAAAATGCCATACAAGTTATAACAAAGAAACACACGTTTATTATTCTATTCTATTTAATTTGTCTAAAATAAAGCAAATCGTGTTCGCTATGAATGAATGGATGGTTATTGACAATTTTTGACGTTTGTCATCGCACTCGATAAAGTAGCCACTGAAAAAATAAGCAACAAAGTACTAATATGAGATATGTATGTTGCCATATACGATTTTTATAACTTACAATTTCTTGCTCTTTTTTATGTAGGTGAATATAGTTTACTGTTTGCCCGGCGGCGGCTTTGAGAGCTTCGTCGGAAGAGTTCCACAGGTAAATGAACAGCAAATTCAAAAGAAAAACAACCTACAAATGCACTTTGACGCCTGCATCTCCACGACTCCTGTTAACGAAAGACGCTTAATTCGACTAACAAGACATGATCCAAGGCCCAAAATCAATTTGGCCACTTATTAATCATTCACCTGGAGCTTTTGCTTCTGATTGTAGACTGATGATAATACGGGTTTTATTGCGATCGGTCGCGAATAGGGCTCTTTCGTCGGCGTTTATTGCCAACTCAATATGAGGGGGTTTTAGAAATTTTTATAGTTTATAGGAAGTACAGGGTGAGAGGTAACACCAATTCCTGGGGGGTGGCCGCTCTGAGAAGGCACGGGAGTCTTGTATGATTTTCACGAGTCTGTCTGATACTCATAGTGAATATAGCATTTAAATTAATCTGTTATGCTAGATAATGTTGATTCGCTTCTTCACTAAAGTAATACCACACAACTGTCCTTCTCCGTGAGACTTGAAGAATGCTTCAGTTTCCAACCTAAAAGTAAGTAAAAGGAAACCCTGTATGTTATTGCCCACTGCTGGGTAAAGATTCTCTCCCTGCATAGGGTAAATACCCTCTTTCTCTGCTTTGGAACAGTAGTGTGTTGGATTTTGCCCATTAGCCATAATCCAAGACACTACAGCCCCACCGCAGATTGGCAGACTTCACATAGCCTTGAAGTTTGCTAATTTAACTTATTATTATTATTTATTCGAAAACATGCAGGTTTTGACGATATGTGTCTTTCACCATTGAGCGTAATCATAAGTTGCAATTGTAAACGAGAAGTAAGTACTTCAAATTTAAATTCAAAGTCTTATCAGTATACGTACCGCAATTCGAAGACGGTTGTTGTTGCTGAATTAAAGGCAACGCCCGAACACTGAGCTATCAAGGATAAATTTCTAAGAGCTAAAATCAAAGATGATTTTATGCCCTAACAGTAAATAAAGGTTGTTAGTTTTTTTTGTGCTATTGTAGTTTGTAGAATATCTGTTATTCTTTATTATTTGTACACTTAAATTTTGATGTTCTGATAAATGTTTTGCTTCACAGTTATAATAAAAATAATGTATATACAATGTATTAATATTAAGTGATATAATTTTAACTTCCTAAAAACCGAAAAATAATGAAATGCTTTAGAAATTGGAAAAACTTTTTTTTATCTAATATTTACAAGATCTATCTTAAATTATATATTATCTAATAAACCTACTCCACGCGGCATGGTGCCAAGAACGATAGCTGCATTTCCTCGCTGCTTATGCTTAATGCTAAACAACAACATGTCCTTTGACTTATTGATGTCATTTGCGATTTTTAAACGTAGTGGTCATATTCTCTTTGGTCATTTGCGCTCTGCTGTCGCCTGTCTGTCTATGTCTAATCTTGACTGCTGTCATCGGGTACCTGTCTGCGGTATCGGTATCGGCTTTGATTAATGGAGAGACGTCATCCGATGTCTTTTTGGGATTTTTGAAGTTTTTATTTGCCTATTACAATTTTAATGTGAATATTATAAAATTGAGAATTTTAAGAACAACTTGACATTAGCGTAATTGTGATAACTCACAAAGCAAGCCATTAATAAAAAGAAGAAGAAGAAGAAGGTATCGGCTTTTATCAATGACGTTGTTTCTTGGTTTGTTCTTATGATGTTTTATGGTATTGATTATTAGTTTACGTTAGATACACTGTACAATAAATCCGTCTTACGATACTTGCATCAGTTTCTGTAATAAAAATATTTACATTTTTGTGATTTAAAATTAACAAATAAAAATCGTGTAAAAAAGGTTATTTTTTTTCTCAATTCCTCATTTCAATGAGTTAATTATATATGTATAATAATAATAATGTTGATTAAGTTTACATTTTAGTGGGAAAATGGAAGAAGAACAAATAAAAAATATCTCCATAAACGATGAAGAAGATATAGTAGATCCATGGAATGTATCAACCAAATGTGAAACAGGGCTTGACTATGATAAATTAATAAGTAAGTTCCAATTTTATTTATACTAATGGCCACAATGAGAAAGTTGATATTTTGTCTTAAAGCTTAAATTCAAAGTTAGGGCTGACTTGCAAATATGATTTAACTATCTGCTGCCCGCGACTACGTCTGCGTACAATAGGCTGAAGGCGTAACATTTAGACAGAAAGACAGATATACATAAAAATATGTATAGAAATTATAGTCTATGTCTTTTTCTGATTTATAAACTATATTATTGTAAAGTTCATTAAAATTCATAATAGTATTTGCGTGAAAGAGTAACAAACATCCATCCATACATACAAACTTTCCCTTTTATAATATTAGTTAGATTTAATTCTAGGTAGGTTCCAATATTCATTGTGTTAGTTATAAATATGTTTGTCATGTTCCTATTTTTTTTTGGCAAATATAAATAACTTTAACTCTTCCGTAATTCAATTAAAATAAATTTTAAACAATAGAGAAAAATCTCTAATGAATTAATCAACAAGCAGAATTCGGCGGTCGCTTATAGTTTTCGAGAAAAAAATAATCAAAACTTGTTATTTTTACTAAGAAATCCACCATTTTATTTATTTCACTTCAAAAACTCAATACACAGTTCTGCCAACATGATAAATATAGGAAGCGGGCGACATCATACTCGTATCGATAGTCCGTTTTTTTTAAATTTAATGCGTCACAGAACCGACACAGAGCGAATCCGACTCGGATAGATTAGGTTAGAAGGTTAACCTTCAATGTTAGGTTTTTTTTTTATAACCACCAATAAATACGAGCAGTATTGACATATTGACAACAAAAAAATGGGGGATTTCTATAGTAAAAATCACACTATTTCATTATTTATTTTTTCGAAAACTATAAGCGACCGCCGAATTCTGCTTGTTGATAAATTCATTAGTGATTTTTCTCTATCGTTTAAAATTTATTTTAATCGAATTACGCCGGAGTTAAGGTTATATACATTTACCTTTTTTTTTAATTATGGAAATATTGGATTATAGCAAATTGTTAGAATTATCCAATTCTTAACTATCCAGCCAATGAGTGAATAATGCCGCTGATGCATTTTTCATTTGTGGAAGTAAAGGTCTTTTAAAATATTATTATTGTACCTCCATATGTTTCCATGAACATACTGATTTGATTACTTTAGAACACAAACCTTAATAATCAATGTTCATCTTTGTCATTGATTTACAGAGCGATTTGGAAGTCAAAAAATAGATCAAGAACTTATAGACAAGTTTGAACGAGTCACTGGAAAGAAAGGTAAATATTTAACCAGTAGGTTTATAAAACTTAGGAAATGTCATATAAATTATTGACTCTAAATACTCTTGAAAATTTTGTAATTGATTGTGATTAGTGTAACTGGCTAGAGTATTTCCCATCTGTTATATTCTTTTAATATTACTTAACATACACCTTTCTAACTTTTTAGCACATCACTTTTTAAGGCGCGGCATATTCTTCTCTCACAGAGACTTGCACAGTATTCTGAATCTGCATGAAACTGGACAAAAATTTTATTTATACACTGGACGAGGGCCCTCTTCTGAAAGTATGCATATTGGACATATGATACCATTCATGTTTACAAAGTAAGAGTAAGACATTTTTTATTTCAATACAAAATGGTTTTACTATAAACTTGTATTTTGTGTGGAAGGGATTAGGTAGTAAGGATTACCTAGAGATTTATTATCTTTATATACATAATTCTTCTGTAACTGTGTATCACTGAACTCCTCTTAAATGGCTGGACAGATTTTTAATAAAAAAATTTGTGTGTCTTTAGGTCAATATGAGAATGGTTTAGATTCACAATTCGTTTTTTTTGTTTTTTTTTTATTTATAAGTTATAACAGAACATTCATAAGTTTATAGTAGTTACTATAAATTTATGCATGATTAGAATGTAAGTAAAAATAGTATATAAAGCAAAAGGTAAAAGAAATAAAAGGGCAAATCATCATCAACCTTAACTCTTCGCTGTTGCATATTCTTGCCATACAGTTCCATCCAGGGAATATCATAACTTTACAGAAAACTGGTGAAAAGTGGAAGTGTTACACTTCTGTGTTTGTTTGGTGAGTAATGTAACCGGCGCCCACTTTACATCACATCTGTCTGTTATAGGTGGTTACAAGAAGTGTTCAATGTTCCACTTATTATTCAGCTGACAGATGATGAAAAGGCCATGTGGAGGGATATCAAAGTTGAAGATGCTCGCAAGATGGCTCATAGCAATGCCAAAGATATTGTTGCAGTAGGATTTGATCCAGCTAATACATTTATGTTTAATGACTTAGACTTTATTGGGTGAGTATACTTTCTTCATTTATGCAAGAGAAATATAAAGAAAAAAGAATTATTTTATTTATTTCACAACTATATAATGATATAATATATAATATATTGTTCTAATATATGCATAACTATATTCTTTTATACAGACAGTGTCCAGCTTTCTACCAGAATATGGTGCGGATACAGAAGTGTGTGACATTTAATCAAGTAAAGGGAATATTTGGCTTTGGTGATTCAGATGTCATTGGTAAAATTACGTTTCCATCAATAGAGGCAGCACCAGCCTTCTCAACAACCTTCCCTTTTATATTTGGTGACAAAGTTGTGAGTAATGGTATAAAGGATTAAATAATTGTTAATTTTTCTTAAAATCTTCTACAAGGTATCCATAAAGAGTAGCGGGGATTTGGTAAAATTTTTAGTTTTTTTATGTTTTATTCTTCGATTGTTTCTTCATCTCTAACAGACCGCAGGTGATCGGTCTTTTTTCCACTGATCTTAGCTTGAGTGATTGACTGACATGATTTATAATTCTACCAGTCATTAAAATATATTGACATGTAGATTTTCCAACCTAATAATCCCCATAAAACCAATACAGAAGAGAGATTAACAAAAAGTCACTAGCAAACTCCACAATTCGACTTAGTCAAGGTATCCTTACCTGGATTGACCTGCTGGCTTAACCTAGCTTGACAGAGTTCAGGTACAGGTTGTAACCTTGCGTCTCTGTCCACCGGGTAAGGCAGGTTCAAAACATTAAAATTTTGAATGATAGCTTGGACAGAACAATATAGGGGAAAACATATAAATGACCACCTAGCCCTGTCGCCTCTCACAATAAATTACAACAAACAAGTGTGGTAGAGCCACGCAACCTTCTTCACTGTTGCACGAAAGAGCAGGTCTGTCCCGGGAAGTACCACGACCTCAAAGAAGACCGACGTGAAGTGGAAGAGTTATATTTCTATGTTTTGTCTGGCGAGTAAGATAGCCGGGCATAAAAGATGGCAATGCAACCGCAACAAATCCACGAGCGGCGATTATCAGCAGGTGTACATCAGCTCGCTCGCCATCTTCTTATACATATACAAAAAAAAGATATGGGACATAACAGTTCTACTGCTATATGTGGCTAGTGACAAGTTCGTGGTACTGATGAAGTAACCATTCTTTCAGGTGCCGTGCCTTGTGCCCTGCGCCATCGACCAGGACCCATACTTCCGGATGACCAGAGACGTCGCCGCCCGCCTCAAGCTGCCGAAGCCAGCCCTCGTCCACTCGACATTCCTGCCCGCGCTCCAGGGCGCTCAACACAAGATGTCCGCCAGCGATCCCAACGCCTCCATATTCCTCAACGACACCCCCAAACAGATTAAGAACAAGGTAAGTATCTTTGAATAGTGTTTAGCCATTTTGAAAACTTCATTTGGCTAGAATGTGAACATCATAACGTCTCCGAAATCCTACTAACGCATACAACTGAAAGTAATGCCAAAAAAATCTTAGGTTTTCTTCTTGTATTCTTGTATTAACTGATGTTTTTGCTTTCAGTCCCGAGACTATTAAAGCTTCATCTGACGCAGAACCGGTGGGCTAGCCAGAACCCACGGGTTTGGGCCCTCCGCTGTGGGTAGGGCCGCGCATGTGCTCATGCGTGCGTTTAACTACGACATGTCATCTAAGGGCCATCGAAGTTGCGGTGCGGACCGAGACCCCGATGGCCGTCGACTGTGTTTTTAGCTAATCGGTGGCTGGGGGCGGTGAGAACCGCCCTGGAACGCGGGTGTACCTTGTGTACGCGTTGTGTTGGTCTCGCCGTGCTCGGAGGCGAGGGCGAACTAGTGTGTTTGTTGTTGCACTAACTGTGTGTGTAGTGTTGTCCGGCGGGACCCCCGGAGGTGGGTCCGGCGTATCTAAGTCCCCTTCCTCGACCGGGTCGATGAGGACGTTTCGCGGGCGACGCTTGTTGACGTTCGCGTTTGTGTCGGGTTGGTAATTTGCTGTGCTTACCACCAGAGGGTTGGGATGATGTTCGGCTCTATCGAAGAATCGTTTGGTCAGGTCTTTAAAATATTCGCGAATCGTCGGGAGTCCGCAATCGCTGTGCAGATCGACGTTGCGTTGATACCACTGCGCACCGGTTGCACGGCGGATGAACTTATTTTGTACTATTTGCAGCTTGTACAAGCGAGTAGGGTGCGTGTGGGCGAAGATCATGCATGCGTAGGACATAATAGGTCGTACGCAGGTCTTATATAATAATAATTTGTGCCTTAAGGGCATTTTACTTTTAGCGTTAGTTAAATTGTGTAGCCGGCCGGAGACGAACGCGGCTCTATTACGAACGTTATTAATGTGCGTAGTAAATGACATACGCGAGTCGAAAGTGACTCCTAAGTATTTGACCTTTTTCTCCCAGGGGAGCGGTTGGCCATAAAGGGATATTTGCCTCAACTTTTTGCATTGGCGAGGACCATTATAAAGATGTGACGGGTAAGTACTTCGTGTGAAGTGAATCGCTACACTCTTTTCGGGATTTATTTCTATTCTCCATTTGCGGAACCAGTCGCCGAGGCGGTCGGCGGCGCTTTGGAGTCGAGTGGTTAGTTGTCTAAGGTTGCGGTCTGAATAAAAGAGCGCCGTGTCATCCGCGAAAAGCGCGAGATTGACGTGGGGGTCTTTAGGTATATCGCTCGTGTAGAGCGTAAAGAGCAAAGGTGAGAGGCAGGAGCCTTGTGGTACGCCGGCCGTGAGGCGGCGGCTTGTGGAGAGGGTGCCTTCAACTCGATATCGAAAAGAGCGGTTTGACAGGAAGGCCCGGATGGTGTGTACGAGCCTATCTGGCACTTTGAGTGTGTACAACTTGTAAAGCAAGCCGTTGTGCCAGACCTTGTCGAATGCTTTTGCGACATCGAAGAAAAGAGCCCCTGTACTAATATGTTTAGGGTGATTTAGGCCTTTTAGGATATGTTCCGTTAGGCGGAATAGTTGATCGGGACAGGAATGTCTAGCTCGAAAGCCGAATTGTTCCGCCGGCAGAAGGCCGTTGGAAAACACGTGCTCATTGAGCCTTTTTAATAAAAGCCGCTCGTAGAGCTTCCCCAGGCAACTGAGGAGGCTGATGGGACGATAACTAGAGGGCTGGTTGGCTGGTTTATTCGGCTTGCGAATGCCGATAACCGTGGCTTCTTTCCAGTCGTCGGGAAAGGAGCAACTGGAGAGTAAAGTGTTGTAAATGGTCGCCAGTAAACAGATAAGCGGCCCAGGGAGAGCTTTAAGAATTTTGTTACTGATATTATCTGGGCCCGGGGCGGATTTCGGTTTTAGATTTTTAATAATATCTTGGACCTCTTCGGGGGTCACTGAATTTAAAGGTTCGCCTTCCGGTGGAAGCGCAGCCCTAGTCTCGATTACGCGGTCCACCTCCGTTAGGTGGACTGTATCGGTGTGTTTGCGTGATTGCTGCCCTTCGACATTGCTGCTCTAGGTTGTCCGCAAGGCATTCGGCTTTTTCGGAGTCATCTAGGGCTACTGAAGCGCCATTAGGTCTAACTAACGGCGGTAGAGATTCGCGGGGGTCTGCTTTCAGACTGCGGGCCAACCGCCAGTAAGCGGTGTGCGATGGCTCGATGTCCTCTAGGAGATTGTCCCACTTGTATGTCGGTGTTCCGATACACGATCTCTGACTTCTAGCTGAAGGCGTCGAAGTAGCGTTCGGTTCGATTCCGATCGGTATCGGTCGAAGGCGCGTTTGGCTGCATTTTTCTGTCTAATTAGCAGTCTTAGGTCGGGCGGAAAGTTAAACCGTCGGTCGCCCGACAGTTTCACCGTCCGTTCCGAGTCTGTGACTGCGGAAGTAATAGTTTCTCGGAAATTCGCTATCGCTCGATTTGCGTCATCGAACGTAGCTATCGTCTCGGGTAGGTCTACTAAGTCGTGGGGGTCCAAGGCCTTGAGTTTGACCTCAAGACGATGCCACTCCACTACGGATTTGGTCGGAGGTACCGCGCCGGCGTTCTGGCCCAGTTTTCACAGGACGGGCCTGACTAACTGAACTGAGTCTAGTTCATGGATTGTCTCTATCGACTCGATGTCGAGCGAGACCTCCCTGAATAACATGATGTCTAGGACACTCGGTGATGCGTGTTGGTAGTTGTCCACCGTATGATACCTAGTGGGAGTCGCGGGAGCGACTATGCTAAAGCTTAGGTTATCGGATAAGCTAAAGAGATGCTTTCCGTTGTTATTTGGGATGCTGTTGGTATCCCATGAGCCGTGTTTGCAGTTTAGATCTCCTGCAATTATCACGGAAGGGCCTAAGTTAAGTAGCGCATCTAGGTCGCTTTGAAGTAAGGTTCTATTCCCCAAGAGGTAGGCTGAGACTAGTACAAGCGGCCTGTGGCCGGTGAGTGCTAACCTACACGCTGATGCTTCTATTTGACTTAGCTCTGGAATGTCGAGCGGGCAACAGTGCAAGGACCGTTTATAATAAATTAATGTGCCTCCCAGACGGTTTGCTAACCGGTCGTGGCGGACAATGTTGTAATTTGCGATTCTGGGATCGCGTACACTAGGCTTCAAGAATGTCTCTTGCACTAGAAAAATATCTACGTTACAATCGCGAAGGAATTCCGCGATTTCGTCCCTTTGACCCTTTATGCCGTTTGCGTTGAAATACGAAACAACCAGAGCCCGAGGTTTTGTTCTACCTGCGGTTGTACTTCCCATTAAGGTGTTTTTATGGGTCTAATTAACGACGCGGCGGAGCGCGGTTTTATTGCGCGGACTATTGTCTTTTACGGTTGGCTCGTAAAAGCCCAAAGGGCTTCCACAAGCGTTTTATGTTGGCTAATTGCCCTCAGACGCTCGTTGCCAGATGTGGCGGCCGCTTTTTTAGCGGACAATACGGCGAGTTCCTGCCTATTGATCGTGTCTAATAGGCTGCAGATGTTTGCGATTTGCGCGAATGGGTCGTCTTTATTTTCCGCAAAAACCGACGGAGTTGGCTGCACCTGCGGCCGCGGCGCCGTTTGACAGGCGGGCAGCGATTGTGCGATCGGTCGTGAGGCGACCGGGATTACCGGCGTGGTTACCTGCGCGGCCACCTGGGGTTTCGCCCAGGCGTTTATGACGGGTACGGGCGCGGGAATGAATTTAACGGGCGCGGGTTTGAGCAACGTAGATTTCGCGGGAGATTTTCTCGCGGGAGTTTTCGGGGCCTTGGCGCAGCCTCTATAACTAGCTGGGTGGCCGGTAGCGTGACAGTTTACGCAGTCCGGTGGATCTGCGTAATCTTTAGGCCTCGTGCACTCGGATGTGCCGTGGTCACCGGTGCATTTGACGCACCTAGGGTGAGCGAAGCAGTTGTTTGCCGTGTGGCCAAAATGTTGACAGTTGTGGCACTGTGCCACAACTCCTGATTTAAGCGGGGGCTCGATGACTAAGTCACTGAGCCCACAGACCCTCTTTAGGTTGAAGATGGCCTTACCTTCCGGGATAGGGTCAAGTTCAACCATTACCATGTCCATAGGGACACGGGTGCGAGGGTGTCTGAGCCGACGTACGGCGTGCACAGGGTATCCCTGTGTGCGGATGTCGACCTTAGCCCTATCGACATCCGATTCTTTCGGGACGCCCTTGATAACGACCCGAAGTTTACGCTCTTCGGGTACTGAGTAGGTGTGGAAACCTACCTTGGCTTCGCGCAAGTATTTTGTTACGCGGCGGAAATCGTCCGTGGAGTCTAGGTATACGCGGATACCCATATTAGTATTTTTGGACCGGGGGTCTCGGATGTTGTGGCGTTCAAACCACGAACACACCTGGCGCCACTTTGCATTTTCTTGAATTATTATTGGCGGCGGTGGCTTGATTTTTCGCTCGGAGGCGAATGTCGGTTCCGACTGGGCAGTCGCGGCTGCCTTTTTGGCGGGCGTCGCGGTGGGACGATTTGACGGGGCGGCCTCGCTTTCGGGGTCGCTGTCAGTAGCGGGGCGTTTCTTGCCCTTTTTGCGCGATTTGACGACGGTGAAGCCGTCGGCGTTCGCGTTTTTCGCGGAGGTCGTTTCGACCTCCATGTCTGAGCCGCCGTCCGATTGTGAGTCGGGTACGACGGAGCGAAAAGAGGTCGGGTTCGGTTGCACGGAAGGCACTACGAGCTAGGCGTTAGCGGATGCCGACGCAACGGGGGCTTCTAAGGTCGCGGAGGGCGACGGGGTAACGGGCGCAGACGGCGCGGGCAATGGCGGCGACGCGAGATCAGCTACTTGCCTATGCTCGGCTTCATAGGCAAGAAAACGTTCCCACATAGCGGGGCATTCCTTGCGTCCGAACTCCTCGAAAAGGGAGCCCATCGCGGCGTAAGTGCCTTTGGGGCTTGTAGCCCCGCCGGCGTGTGTGAGCTAAATAAGCCTCCCCACCTTGCGGCAGGGAGGTGTGTGCCTAAAAATAACAACTAATTTGCCTGCGCTTTAGGTGCGCTAGGGTGGGTACCTAGCTGTCGCCTATTGCAACAAGCACACAGTTAATAAATGAAACAATGCCGCCTCTGAGACGAGAAGTGTGTGTAGGATTCTACTTACAAAACAGGAACCTGCCTACGAGCACAACACTACACTAACACTAAACTACTGCACTATTTGCACAAGATTTAAATTGCAACCGAGGTTGCGAGTGGCGTCTAATTCGGGTGGCATGTGCCCTCCGTCTTAGAGAGACGTCCGTTCCGTACGAGAGCACGAAGCGGAATGGTAGATTTTCTTCGTAGCATGAGTCTAAAACAGTACGTTACCGAGCCAACTCACTTTACTGATCACTCCGAAACTATGTTGGACTTAATTTGCAGTAGCATTAAGGTTACAAACGTCTCAGTTAATTTAGTCCAAGACCTTAGCAGTCATGCGTTTATTTCGTTTGAACTTAATATAAAGAAACCAAAACCAACACGTCGTTGGTTAACATACAGACCGATTAAGGACATTAATTTGCAAAATTTTAATAATGACGTAAACAGTATACCATGGGAGAGACTACTCAGCGATGACGTTAATGATTCTCTTGCAGCTTTCAACTCATGTCTTAACAAACTTTTTTACATTCATGCACCCGTAAAAACATCATATTAAAGAGCAAAGCTACCCGTGGATTACAGAAACCGTAAAAGATATGGTGAGATTGAGAGATGAAGCACATGCTAAAAGTCGTCGCACGAAATTGGATTGTCATAAAAATACTATAAAGATTTGAGAAGCATAGTAAGAATAGCCATCCATAACGAAAAAACCGCATACTTCCAACATTTTATAAACCGTAATATAAAAGATTCACGAGCCCTATGGAGAAATTTAAAAAAAACTGTTGTTGATTTTAAAAAGAAACAAACAGACTTACCGGAAAATTTATGTAATCCTGACCTTATTAACAACTATTTTCTTAATATTCCTGGTACGACTGATTGCAATCCATCTGTATTATCACGATTTTATTCAAATCGTTTCAAAACTCGGATTTTAGCTTGAGACCAGTCGACGAGGAAACTGTTTTTAAAATTATTAAAAATATTACGACAAACGCTCAGGGTGTAGATGGTATATCACTGAATATGATTCTTTTAACTCTACCTCGAACAATAAGTATATGACTTCTATACTTAATTTGTCGATTAGAACTGGTAAATTCCCGGACTTATGGAAAGAAGCTATAATTAAACCTATTCCCAAAATTAATCATCCAACAGAGTTAAAAGATCTACGACCAATAAGCATACTACCAATACTGTCAAAGATTTTGGAAAGGGTTGTATGTTTGCAGATGACTGACTACCTACATTCTAATAACATCTTACCAGAAAAACAATCGCTTTTGCACGTAGTTGATGATGTGTTTTATCCGAACAGGATGTTGGAAAGGGTACAGTTTTGGTGCTACTTGATTATTCACGTGCATTTGATACAATCAACACGTCCTTACTCATAGTAAAACTTGTTTATTATGGATTTGATCAAGTAGCAATTAAGTGGTTTTCAAGTTACTTGACTGGCCGTACTCAAAAGGTTGAAATCACTCATATGTTTCACCAATAAATCGAGGAGTTCCACAAGGATCTATACTCGGGCCAATCCTTTTAATTTTATATACAGCTGACCTACCGAAATATATTTTGAATTGTGAGCATCATTTATATGCTGATGACCTACAAATCTATAAGCCTTTGAAGCCTAGTGAAGTAGGGACAACTTTTACACAAATTAACGAAGATCTTAACCGAATAGCTGAGTGGTCGGAAGCTAACAGTCTTGTTCTGAATCCTACAAAGACAAAGTTTATTGTTTTAGGTACCAAAGCACAAGTAAACCAAATAACTGCTCTTAAACCACAGATAAAAGTAAGAAATGACAAAATTGAACAAGTTCAAGAAGTTCGAAATTTAGGTGTACTACTTGACAGTCATTTAAGATTTGAAAGTCATGTTATAAATATAGTCCAACAATGTTATTATAGGCTAAAAGTGCTGTACCAAATACGTCAATTCCTGGATATAGACTTGCGGATTCATCTCTGCGAATCTCTAATACTATCAAAATTAAATTACGCAGATACAGTCATCGCTGGGTGCTTACTAGAGCGTACAAAAAAACATATTCAGCGAGTTCAAAATTCCTGTGCTCGTTTTTGCTTTCCAATTCCACGCCGGTCTCATATAACACCATACCTTAATCGAAGCGACATGCTGAATATGCGGTCAAGGCGAGCACTACATTTTGCTTCCTTAATTTTCGGGGTAATAAATAAAAAAAGTCCATCATATCTCTATGGCAAGTTAAAATTTACACAACGCCAATCACGACTTTGTGACCGTCTTATATGCCCTGTTTTTTAGTACTGCGGCTTTCCGTGGAAGCTTTCGATACTCCGCCACAAAGTGTTGGAATAACATCCCACCACCTATTAGAAACTCTTCGTCTTTACATATCTTTAAAGCAAAATACAAAAAGTTTCTACTTCATTTGCAAAAGACAGAGTAAAACCGATCAGATCGCTGTCTGCATATATTATATATATATATATATATATATATATATATATATATATATAAAGTTGCACCCAGACAACTCAGCTCTAGGTATATAGGTACTCGTATTGTGTTGAGGACATGTTATAGTTTTTGTTAATAATTTTTTTTTGTTATACTTTATTTTTGATTTTATTGTTCCTAACTTTTATATTCCTTTTTTATTGTTTTTAGTCTATTTCATTGTTATTTTTGTTGGCTGTATGCATGGAGCTGAACGCCAATCTTACAAGGTATCCGCAGAAAAAAAGCGCCGTGGTATTGTTTGCCAGGGCAATATACTGAGCGGAGACCTTTTTGGTGCATACATTTTTACAATTATAATGTTATTTCTTTTTTTTTTTTCCTGTAATGTAATGCGCCGAATAAATATTTCTTCTTTCTTTCTTTCTTTCTTTCTTTCAACTGTTGGTAAAGACAGAAATAAAATGTTAAAGTAGTAAAAAGAGATGAATAAAACTTAAGTGTTTCACTAATATTAGCTGCATGTATATACTCAACTATGTAAATGAGGAACAAACATATACCTCACTTTGATATTGCCGAAACAGTACACAACAATGCATCTATCTTACAGTTAAACATCTAGTTAACACTTCTAACATTATATGTTTCATGTATAAATAAAATTATGTGTATAAAGATGGTACACAATGGCACCAACCAAGATGTCCTGCTTTCATTTCATAATTTAGTAAATAATGTTTAAGCAACCATTTAATTGTGTTCTTGTTATAAAAAGTCTTTTTATAAGTAGGTAATTAATTAAATTATCCTTAATCCAGATTAACAAGTACGCATTCTCCGGTGGTCAAGCGACTGTCGAGGAGCACAGGCAGAAAGGTGGTAACACTAATGTGGACATATCTTTTAAGTATTTGTCCTTTTTCCTCGAGGATGACAATGAGTTGGCTGAGGTGAGTTTTTAGAAGTTAATCATATTTTCTCTAAATGTTTTCTCGTATTTACGCAACTGTACATATTGTTAGTTGAAACTGTTAAAAATTATTTAGTTTTAAATTCTTCAACAGTAGAATATAAAATACATTTTCATTTCAAAATAAAAAAATTATTACCGAGATCCTGGTTCCTCCTATAAAAGTATAAGAAATGTATGTTTTCATCCAGTTCTACAAAATTTTGGGAACCAGTTTATCATATGTGGTCAGATAGTGTCACAGGATGCCTCTGTGAATTTACAATTCTGTGTTGGCTCCCATTTTAATGTATGGAAGTGCAAGTTGAATATGATAGGAAAAGCTTTGAAATGCGGTCGTCATGAATTCTGTGTTACTTTTCGAAATTATGAAATAGAAATATATTTCACTTGTATATAAATGTTGATATATAAATATAAGATCATTGTATTATAGTCTTCAAAACCATTTGATTTTTTACATAATAGCTTACGGTCTAAGTATATTTTGTGAAAAATTTCATGCCATTATTTTACGTATCTCCTCACTAGATGGCGCTGTGACGTGTTCGTATGTACCCTATAAAAAATGGGTGTAAACATAGTGACCATTGTGATTCAGAAAAATGAATAAAATTTTGATTCGTCTAGCCAGTGCCTTTGCATTTACCTCAACTTTCCAGCGGGTGCAATCGTGCAAAGAATAAGCTAACTACATTAGAGAACAAAAAATTTTGTAAATATTATTTTAGACTAGCGACCCGCCCCGGCTTCGTACGGGTGCAATTAAAATTATACATGTAACCGTTCCACTTGAATCACTCTATCTAGTAAAAAAAAACCGCATCAAGATCCATTGCGCAGTTTTAAAGATCTAAGCATACATGGACAGACGACTTTGTTTCATACTATGTAGCGATAAAGAGCTGTGATAGCTCAGTGTCCGGGCTCGCTTTTAACTCAATATTAGAACCCGAGTTCAAATTCCAATGCCGGCACCAATGAAATTGTTACTTTACCTTTTTCAGATAAAGAAGTTGTACGAATCTGGTGAAATGCTGACGGGCGAATTGAAGAAAGTCGCCATTGATACAATAACCCCGATCATCCAAAGCTATCAGGCGCGAAGGGCTAAAGTTACCGACGAGGTCATGCAGGAGTTCTTCAAGATAAGACAGATTGTTGTGTAACCATTTCAAATAATGCTCCGCTATTTATTTAAAACAGAATACATTATGTATAATTTTTTTATCTGTTGTGTGTCTGTACAAGATTATGCTAATAAAGGAATGTACAGCTTTGTTATTTTTAATTACTTAAATGAGCTGCTATTGACACAATATTATTGTTGATTTCGGTACAATGATTTTTTGTTGCTGTGACAATACAGATTTTTTATATTTAAACAATATTTATGTGTGAGTTGATATATTGTCAAACATTATATGAATAAGTTTTGTAAATTACTCTGTCTAATATTTTTTTATATTGAATATATTGTAAACTACTGATATGTATTTATGTCATTCAACATGGATATAGACTACATATGGAAGTTTTTAGGTTGTAATTAAAGTAAAAATATGCTTTTGATATTGCATTCTTATATAAATGTGATAAATTGCTTAAGGTTAAACATTCTGTATGTAAGGTAAAAATTTCTATTTATTTATTATTATTATATATTATTATTTTTATTATTATCTCTTCCCTCTGTGCATTATTTTTAAGATATTTATCGTTTATAAAGCATCAATGTTTAATATTCAGCAAACATTTGTATCTGTTATTAATTTGTGAAGATGCTGTATAAAGAAAGCATGTAAATTGTTTGAAAACACGATTAAAGTTCTATCTATGGCTTTTTTTGTAGATATTTATTTCAGCTTTATAGCCGACCCTAAGTTTATTCTATTTAAAACAACATTGTCTAGTCCCAAACTAAGCAATGCTTGTACTATGGGTACTAGATAACGGATAAACATACCTAAACATACTTTTTATTTGTAAATAAATAAATATTATACATATATAAACACTGAAAAACTATGTTCATCACACAATATTTTTCCAGTTGTAGGGATGGAACCGAAACCCTCTGGCGCAAGAGGTAGGTTCATTCCCCACTACGCTAATCGAGTCGTCGTTATTTTTTTAAAAATTTATAATACGCATTGCAGCTTATTTGAATCAATCTGAAAAGTGGCTTGTGATGAAATGATTGTATGCTTTCAGTCTGAACGTAGACGATCGTAAAACTCATTGAAAGATAATGTTTTACGAATGTTTTTGATAGACCCTTTCTGGTAGTCTCGCATGTAGGACTGTGGACATGCGTGCTTTAACAAAAGAGAGTGACATAGATAGCGGACGACTATGTGTATTATACGCTGGCTCTGAGCGACATAAAAACAATGTATTTATTTTAAAAGAGCTCTTGTTTAAATGATAAAATTTAGATATTTAAAACAGCATTACTTCATGAAAACATTGAGTCACCCGGATGTGACACTAAAGCATGTATGTCATGGCCGCGTCAAGGTGGCTGGATATGGGATGCATACATTGATTTTTCATTTAAATCGTCTCCAACTTGAAAATCTTAAATGATTTTATGGTATAGTAGGTGATACCCTATCGATAATTGATGAATGCACTCTGAGAAAAAAAGCTTTTAATAAACTCCAATAAAATAACTACATGTTGTAGTTATTTTATTGGAGTTTATTAAAAGCTTGGCCACCCGCCCCGGCTTCGCACGGGTGCAATGTATTATACATATAAATCTTCCTCTTGAATCACTCTCATATCACTCAGTAAAAAAAACCGCATCAAGATCCGTTGCGTGGGTTTAAAGATCTACGCGTACATAGGGACAGACAGAGCGGGACGACTGTGTTTTGTACTATGTAGTGATTGGTATTGACAGCGTTTTTTACGGATGATACGAAAGTGATACAGTTGATCTCTTGGTGGTAATTTATGGTTGTGCCCGAACACAGACGCTATGAATCATCATCCTCCTGTCCCAGCTAGGTGGGATCGGTACGTGTTGTAAGTGGTTTTAGCTAGGTTTATTACGTCCGGCCGCTTGCCTAACATCTGCCTCCTTGGGAACAGACACCCAGATTCGGAACATTTATCTGTGGGTCACGCAAATAGTTGTCACGTGTGCGAATCGAACCCACGACCCCGACGACATTTGATGTGATTTTGAAAAGCGCCATCTTTTAAGAAACGCCAAGACCGTATTGTTACACGCTTGTAGGTATGTATTAGTAGACTAGAGTGCACTGTGCAGTGTTCAGAGTGTTCTTTAAAATGTCGAAAAACTATTATTTAAAGTTTCAAAGATTGTACTAGATTTATATGGGAAACCTTATAGATTAGAAACCTTACAGATCAACACAATGTCTATTAATAATTTTGAAAGTGTACCAAAATATTTTTCCTAGTTTTTCTTTTACGGTAATATTTGAAGATAAGCATCAGTACATTGCAAACCATAATATTAAGTTTTATTATAGTACTAAGTGTATTTATATTATTGTAATAATAACATATAGATATGTATGATATTATTACTATCGTTCTGATGCAAGATTGTAGCAGCTGTTTCAAATAATAGACTAAGCTGCAGGAAATGGGTGCAAAACAATTAATGTACTATGACATGTGCAAGTCGCGCCACCGAATGACCGAATTACTTCCTCTTTATTAACAATAATATCTTCAGTTTCACTTAATGTTTAACACTTGTACGACTTTAAAAATAGACTTCACTTTTTAGATTATAATACCGTAGTAAAAAGTATTTACTAATGTCATGTAATTTTTATGTCTAATTATTTCAAAAATTGCTTTGAATGATTTCGCTTTGTGCAGTTTTAAAGGTAAAACCAGAAATAGATAGAGTGTTTCACTTGCGTTGTTCTATAAACATTAAAAGCTAAAAATAATGATGGTGTAGGTGTGGTACAGATGTTACGGATTCCGCTATTCCCTATTCACTTCAAAACTTCTCACGAAATAAAATTAAGTACTGTGGCGCCTGGTATGCTCAGCTGATTACTTTTATAAAAATTACCAGGATATCATAAACGTGCTGGCACTATCGAGATTGAAAAACGAAACCAAGGAAAATATAATTAATGAATTTTTGATCAGCATTGTAGTTTACACCATCTCTGAACTACCAGGACAACATAAATGTTATAGTAATTATAAGATCTACGAGATACATCGTGTAATTCTCGATGGAAAGATTTGTGTTTTTATAGTCTTTTTATAAACGTATATCTAGGTTATTTTCCGATTGTTACACAAAAAGCTCGGGGGCAAATGTATTTATATAATTTGTACTATTTATATTAAATACGTTTTGATTTTAGATAGCGAATATTTTCAAGGCGAAATAATGTGTAAGAATAATTTTCTATGTTGTCTAAATTGTTTGTCTCTGTCTTTTTTATAATTTGTAATGTACTGAAAATTAAAGATATAAAAATTACAATTGATCACTTAAAAGCGTGAAAATAAAATGTTAAACACATTCATAACCAATGTAATTAAGTGTTCTATATTTTAAGTATATATTTATGTATATTTTTTACTTTTTAAGCATAACAATGGTGAGCGAGACAAACACTTGAGACAAAAAGGCTTTCAAAATCGAAGCTATACGGCGACACTTGTGTACACATACGCGCAACTTTGATCCAATATGCATGACAATGGCGGACGAATGTGGATGACACAGTAGCTAGAAGCAACAGGTAGTAGTGACACGGCTTAGGAGGTATTCTAGAAAAATCTAAAACATTTTCCCGCCTCCACGATCTCTCCGCAAGGCCCAACTTTCGGCAGAAATGTACCAACCATACGAGGAGGAGGCTCCCATACCTTTGATAGCGAATTACACGTTGGTCAAGAGCGATGAAGAAGTGAAGAGGGAGACGGGTGATCGGATAATTCTGGAAATAGGCCGTCAAGACGAAAGACCCCGCGAGGAAAACACTTTCTCCCATAAGAAGTACGATAAGACGACATCACACCACAGATCCTATGTCCTGGACGACTATGCAGAGCCAAAACGCATTGTGTACTTCAGACCTCACGAGTTGCAGTCCATGTCTCAAGAAGGTAAAATAATAACGTATTTTATAGTCACTTGTACATTTTGTAACGCTTCAAACACTTATATATAGCTCATGCACAATACTTCGCCACGTGGATTTAGTAACGGAATTAATATGAAAGTAAATGTCCTATATTTATTAACAATATGTATATATACTAATATTCTGAACCCTGAAAGTTATCAAAATGTAACATACACGAAAATTATATATAAAATTCTTGTTTTAAGCCCAATAGGCCCAATACTAAGATGTTATAATACTCAATATTGAAAGCCGTTGTGCCGTTTCGATCCTATTCGAGACAAACAAAAACAAACAGACAGGCAGAATTTGTAAAAACGGGCCAAGTGCGAATTGGACTCGCCCACGAATCTCATCACTTATCTACAAAAGCGGCAAAAATAATGTATAAGAGCACCACTTAAATATTTTTTAATCTGTTTTTAGTATACAGTTGTTATAGCAGGAACAGAAATACTTCTGTAAAAATTTCAGCAGACAGACAGACAGCGGAGGCTTAGCAATAGGGTTCCGTTTCACCCTTTGGGTAAGGAACCCTCAATATATAGTAATTTTTTGAGCTGGTATCGCATTAATAGCAGTTTGGCATTTATTTTGAAATGGCACACAGACACTTTATTTTCATCATTATATTACGTGAATGTTAAGAAATAATAATGCGTTTTATTCTAGTTTTTTTTAAAATTATCTTGAATGTTTCTACACGCAAAATCAAATTTATTTTGATTAACATATTTCTGTTACACTAAGTCGTAATTGTTAAGTTACAGACTATAAAAGTTTCATAGAACTGAGCTCGTGGGCCATTCAAAATCCACGAGCTTGATACTATACAATGTATTACATTAAACTGTTTCGCGGTTTAAATTAGTAATAAGTTTAAAATTACTAAAACATGAAGAAAAATTAGTAATAAGGGCTTATAACTGCGGTAGCAACATGATTTGACTAAAACTTCGATTTAGGCTTTAGGATAAGGTCAATTGTATAAGATTATTTGTACTGAGGGAAGCTGCCTTAAAAAGTTCGCGTATCGGATGCGTGTACGTGTATATATAACTGATGTTACGCTTCCAATCTTTAGACTATTAAAGCTTCATCGAACGCAGAACCGGTGGGCTAGCCAGAACCCACGGGTTTGAGGCCCTCCTCAGTGGGTAGGATTGATGTGTGTGCAAATGTATGGCCGTGGAAGAGAGCTAATATGCATGCGACTTATTTGCTGATTAGTGAATACTGTTGCTAATGGCATGCATATGTTGCAGTTTCTATGCAAACCTTTAACACGGCTTATGATCTAGTAGCGTCAAAACATAAATAATGTAACGAAATGCAGAAGTTAATACACTTCTACTCAAGCTAGTCTTCAGTAAAGACGTAGTTATTTCCCAGACGAGCCAAACCATGTAAAAGAATAGGCTGATGCAGACTCTTAGGCGCTCATCTAATTACGACCGGTTTCAATATTCTATTCTAATATCTAAAGATAGATTTTGTTAATATTGATAGATATTCAACCGACTTGAAAAAAGTAGGGGGTTCTCAATTCGACTGTATTTTTTTATGATACCTCAGAACTTTTGACTGAGTAAACCGATTTTAATGACTCTTTTTTTTTGTGCTCCCATATGAATTTCGTGGTCACATATTAATTTCATTGGTATTGGATCCTGAGTTCCGGAGATATTTAGGCAGCTCCTGAAAATCAATTACCTATAAAATGGTTTTGTTTTTCGTAAATAAAAAAATGGTCTCGTCAGCTCCATTATACTTACGTCAAATTTATATCGCGAGTGACCACATCAATCTGTAGATAGGATATTGAAACCGGTTGTTAGTCGTTTATATGTACAAGAACGTTCAAAAGATTACCGGTAACTACACTGGCTTTGCTATTTTATTTCAGGAGCGAGGTACTATGAGCAGGAGGGGTACAGAGATCCGTTAATAAATGACGCAGCCAATTCAGAGTCCTCGTTGGACTTCTCCCACGAGTCACAGGACAACAGCAAATACGAAGATCCGAGCCAACCCGACGTTACTATGAATTGGAAAGAGAGGGCGTTGCAACTCGAAAAAGGTTGACAACGAATATGATTATGTAGAGTTCATAAAAGCGTCAAATAATATCTATATATTATTTCTCAAAGGTGTTTTTTGTTGGGAAGCCATAAATTCCATAAGTCTTCATGAAATTAATGTATCTAATACCATTTTAACGATTGTTTCTTTTACGTTTACCGCTATTAATAAAAAAAGGCAAATAGAATAAATGTTTAATAAACAAATAAGCAGTCAAGGACTGCCAACAGAAGTGGGAAATTAAAACTTGAATTATTGTTTTTTTAATTTTAAACGAAATACACTATGAATGATTAAAATCACAAAACGCTCATTTAACGGGAAAAAGAGCTATTTTATTTCTGACAGATTTAAATAATAAATAATAATTTTAATAGTACAATAATAAAAATAATCTATATAAAGTTAATGAGTGATTAGGCGTTGTAAGTTTTTTTTTTAAATGGATAAAGTTAGAAATGGAGACGGTTTAACCGAAGTACCCAACTAGTAGCTGTGAGATTGTACTAGCGTCGACAAGGTCCACTGGTCCACTCACTCAATTACTACTCGAACCTTAAACTACAAACATATCTACTATACGTCGGTCTCCGAGACACTTTCTTCCCTGAACGGGTGATTCGTGAAATAAAATATACTTTTGCGCGGCTTTGAAACAGTGAAACATTTCATCTTGCTAAGTTTTAAGGTAACAAACAATAGGTGGCTATATATATGAGCGAAAGTGAATGTGCGCCATATATAATTCTTGTTTTAACGCGAATATAGTACATATTAAATTAAACTATTTTAGGGATTTAAATAAAAAACGCTACAAAATCCTTAAAAAGTTTCATTTATACGCTATATTTAATATTTCTATACTATTAACCAATATAGTTTTAAATAGAGCACTTACATTGATTGTCCGTTTAACTTTCAGAGTATAAAAAAACTGCCTGTGACCGTGAACGAACTCGCATGCGGGACATGAATCGAGCTTTCGACCTGTTGCGCTCGAAGCTACCGTTAACGAAGCCCTCAAAGAAGAAGTACTCTAAAATCGAGTGCCTCAGGTACGAATAGTAGGCATAACGTAGGTAAAACGCTCCTCCAGTCGGCATAACAGCATCACATACTGTCATGTCGACTGGGAATCGTTTTACCGACACGACAAACACTCGGATTCGGAACAATTATTTGTAAGTCACACAAAAACACGACCCGGGTGGCAATTTATTTTATTTATTATAAACATTGCCCTTACTTTAGGATAACATTATCTTGTCCTGTAAGGATGTTTTACAAAACATAAATTTCACGTGGACAAACACCTAGATGCGAAACAACTATCTGTGGGTCACACAAATAGTCTCGTGTGGGAATCGAACCTACGACCCCTAACGCCGAAGCCAATAATACCTTGGAACTGCGAGCGGCGCCGAAATGTATCGCCTAGCAACGGCGCCAATAGTTATTGCGGTTCAAGTATTACGTAAATAAACTTTCTACGATTTTAGAACCCTCCCCACATAGTATTAGCAAAAGCAGAAAAAACTGCACCCTCCCACTCCTACCAAATGATAAAGAAAGAAGTTAAAATTTGTTCAGAACTTTATTAGTTAAAATTTAAAAAGAAAATCAATAATTTTTGAAAAAAGAATACTAGTATATTAATATAATTAGAGAATTAGTAATCATTATTATTGATCAAGGCTTTCCTAAAAAGTTTTTATATCTTTAAGAATTATTAATTCATTTTCACAGTCAAGGCTAAAAATCGTTAAATCTGTTGGATGATTCTTTAATATTTTTTTATATTTTACGTAACATTTTTCATATCCCCCTCCCTCAGTCTGCACGTAATACTTAAACTTCCACAGGGATCTTGAATGATTCTCTAAATTTTGTGTGTTAACAAACCAACCCGTCCAGTCCTTACAAACTGTATAGTTAGACTATATGAAGTGCTATAAAAATAGCAAACAAATTATATAAGAAACTAGCTGTTAACCGCGGCATCACCCGCGTGGCCAAAGGGAATTAACAATGTGTTTTTTATTTTACACCAGAATATCTGGCACATGGCTGAATTTTTTCCTACTAAGTTGACACCTATATTTAAACAATTCACATAAATTATAGCCTATGTGCTATTCTGATATATGAGCTATATTATTGTAGTTTCATTAAAATCTATTCAGTATTTTTTGCGTGAAAGAGTAACAAAAATCCATCCATACTTTCGCGTTTATAATATTAGTAATGAAGTAAGGATGTGTTCAATAGAATAGTAGTAGTGTCAAATATTTGTTATTCACACACAACTATTCTTTATATTTTCATACCTAAACTTTTTTTATCTTTACAATGTGGACAAACTTGTCAACAGAATAGCTATCTGCTATATACGTCACTTGGAATATATGTTATCTGGGGGTTCTCCGGACGACAATCCTGAATTCTCCGACTTCCAAGCCACCGATATCAGAAGAAGGCCACCGAGATATTGACTCATTGGATATATTTGATCGCCATTTCTTATGAAATAATCGAGCTAAGTACTATTTTGTTATAAATAGTTAATTAAGATTATATCGATACACTGTTCATGATAAAAATGTAAAAAAACTGGGCGGGACATTCTGATGGCTAAATTTTATAGATTCATCTCTCCCGCACATCAGACTTTTATATACAAGGAGCGCATAAACTAAGTTGTTACGAATGAGAATTCATGCATTGTTTTATCATTGAGCAACGAAGTGAAACAATAAAAAAGTCGTAAATACTATAATTTATACAAAAATACACGAGTCAAAAAAATACAAATAAGATTTACAAAAAGTTTGAAGAATATGATTAACAAACAAATTGTAAATAAAGGAAAGTTCAATGATCATCCTCTCTCCTTTTTCAGTTTCCTTTCCTTTTCTTCCTCGGCTCGCTTTCTTTCGAGTGCCTTGAGGTAGTCAATGTATGCACATTTAATTACTAATGGCATTTTCGCGACACCTGAATGACACGAATTTGTAAAATTTATTACGATGTCTTCTTTGAAATGTAAAAATTTATTTAGTATACGTACATGACTTCGATTAGGTAAGTTATAAAATATAGTAACAAAGAAATACTGTATACATAATCTCATACATACATATCTCTATAATTTTTTTTTATAAAATTATAAAGTATTTATTTTAGCTGTACCTGAAAAACACGTGGTTACACAACTCTTGTATATTGAATACACGGGTGCCAGAAGACTTTCATTGTTTTCTTTTTTCTATAAGTAATGAATGAAAGCAGAAAAATTAACACTACATTTACAAATCTGGCTTCAGTGTCAATGATATGACCCAGTTTTACCAGGGAGTTATCAACGCATGGTAGTGTGTCCAGAATCGTCATGCGCCTCTATCTCTTTCAGTGGAAAAACGAAGGTGGATGTTTTATTGTACAAACAGTTACGTTTTTATTAATTTAAGGATTCTTTATTTGACTACTTGGTTAGATCTTATTGTAAATAAATAAAATCTTATTGTAAATAAATAACAAAAGTATATTAATAAAAGAACATCAATAAATAATATAATTGAAATTTACATGTTTATGTAGTTAAGTAAATGTTTACTTTATTCTTGCGTGTTAATAGTTAAAAATAAGAGAAAATAATTTTACTATTAAAAATATAAAAAAAAACAAAGGCATTTTTTTACGAGAATTACGATAAAAAAACTAATCAAAAACAATAAACGAATGGATAGACGCGAATGTGGTGAACGGCATCTTTGTATTCAATTCATGTGGAAGTACCAGGCGAACATGGACGGTGGGAGCGCGATGGAATTTACACACGGCATCGACCGTAAAATTTTGTGATACGTACACGTTGCGTATTGATCGTAGCATGGACTAGGAATACAACACACACGTACATTTCAGATGGATTTGATTCCGTCAGATGGGGACTATTTAGCCGCGAGCTAGAATGGAACAATGAATATTGAGCGAAGAGTAAACCGCTGTAGGCTTTCAGAGCGAGTGGACGGATGTTTTGTAAAACTGGAATTGCCTACGGCAGTGACGAACTGATATTTTTGCTTTCCAAAGCGCGTTCATGTACCAGGACGCCAGATTAAGCAAGTAGTTAAAACATTGCTAGCAAAAGCATTGAGAGATTACTTAAGAATAAAATTACTTATATTTAAGAAATAAAGTGAATTTGTTAAGAAAACAACCACTTTTACTTGTTGAAATAAAAAGTTATTTTAAGTTATAAAGTTATATGGCGGATAAATTGCTTATACGTAAAAAAAATACTTGCCTACTTCCAACTTTATTAGTATTATTATAATAATGTTTTAATTTAATGTCAGAATCTTTAAGGCATCAATTTAAAAAAGCGTTTTAAAATCTATCAATAATTTAAAGAATGAATCAGTCTCGTCAGTAACGTACATGAAAGGGGTGACTGGTGACGTAATAGTACTACTAGGGTTACATCAACTTGTGGAGTAAAGCTAAACACACAAACACACTTACAATAACGTTACCACACTGATCAAATATAGGTGGTTTCCTAGTGTTAATGCTGCGTATGTACTCCTGCCAACGACGTATGCACTCCGTGACGTCATTTTGGTCACCCCACACTCCTTGCGCGTACGTGAAATAAGCAGTACCTACCAGGATACCAGCCTGTAGAGAGAGTAGGAGCATAGAGTCACAATTTGCTTCATCGGATAGGCGCTACAAACGACGAAACATTGTCAAGTCGGTGGGATGTCAGGCAACACAGATGCAAATAAAAATGTTCTATGTCAATGAAAATTAGGAGGTAAGAAAGAATCTTGGTAAAGATTAATTAATAAAATGATTACTTACTTTAACTGCGTACATAAGTTTTCCATGGGCATAAGGCGTCGACATTTTAGGCAACGTTTTTATTCCACCTTGATTCAGTTGACATTCTTTGGTACAGACTTTTATGCAAGTAGGTTGAATGGGTAGCTCTAAAAATAAATAATAATAATAATAATTTAATATTGCCCTTTTTGTAACTATGAATAAGTTAATTATTTATTTTATTTACAGTTTTACAGAGAGAAATAATAAATAATCTTTTTATTGAAAAAATAGTTTGTTTAGTTAGTTTGTTCTTCAATCATAATAATACATAATTAAATTATATCATTTTTTACTCGTTTTAAAACAGGAATTTTGGGACACGCAACGTTACAATATTTGTAATAAGTACCAGGATAACATATTCTCAAGGAGCGTGAATGTAACTGTTCTGTTACAACGTCAGAGCCCGATTCGCAACAGAGAAAGGTTTATAGCGGACCGGTATGAGAGAGAACAGTACAGAAACAGTTTATAATACACATTCAAGGACGCGGAAAAAGAAATAGAATATACAGTATACCTACACGCGAATCGTTTTAATTAATGTGTAAAGAGAGTGGCAACAGTATCGTAAAAGTTGGCGAATTGGGTTTGATTATGTTCTGTTATACAGCTTTTTTCGTCTTTTTTTGTGCTGTCATTATGGGAATTAATCTCTGATTTATCCCAAAATATTTTTGATCTAGAAAGCTTAAAAAATCGTTATTCCTATAATCTAAGATAAGTTTGTTTTTCAGCATACTTATGCATCTGAAATACATAAATATATGAAATAAATAAAATAATGATGCTATTTATTAATACGTTAATAAATAGCATCATAATTTTTTTTTATTATGCAATTCAATCAAATAATCTTAACAAAAACATTTCAGACAAAACTCTGGAGGTATAAAGGAAGGAGGATATTACGTTGATTCCTATTAACTTATACCATTAAAAAATGCTTTTTTTATGTCTTGAGGCTATTAAAAGTAGGAAGAAGGAAGCTTCTAAATAGTAGTTGGCCATTGAATGGCATCAATTGTGTTTTTGTGTAATTCTAGAATTATTGGGATAATGAGGCAATTCACTCAAATTTTTCCTTTAAAAACGCGTCACATTGCAGTACCTAAAGTCAGAGGGGAACTGTTTTTGATTTTACCATGTTGTAAAATCTACAAAAGACAAATAAAATTCCTAAATTTATTATTAATAAAGTTAGGCTAGATTTGGATAAAACTAATCATACACATTGTGATGACAACACATAACCAAATAGTTTGTCCTCGCCGAAACCAATATAACGCGTACATAAGTTATATTCTATGGCTACTGCCATCACCGCTCCTAACATCGTGACATAGGAGAGGGGTCGCATTGAAGCCTGAAGGTCCGTAAGTGACAATTCCTTCATCAATTGATGACACACGCATGAAACCTTGCGCGACCTTAGCCAACGCGGGTTTCGTATTTCATGAAGCTTTAATAGTTTACGGACTGAAAGCAAAGCGTCAGTTGATAGATAAAGAAAAAGGTACTCGACAAAATTATTTTCTAAATCTTGTTAGACTATATGCTTCCTTAGTACCAAGACATCATATTCGATAAGATTGCGATAAGATTGAACAGAGACCTGTAACGCGACTGCATTCTATCTTCTGCGTGGGAGCGCATTTCTCGTATATCTGCATGTCGGGCTTAGGGTGTTTGATGTGCTTCGCCAAATTGATGGTGCGACATGGCTCGCACCTCACTTTGTTGTCGCACATTTTAAGGCTTTAACATTGGTTTCTTTATTGGGCACAACGGAATAAATTTAGAAGGTGAATCGAAAAGCTCCGACGGGATTTGACGTTGACTTGACAGATTGGACGGACTACAAGAGGATTTTGTTTGATTTCTTGACATTTCCTTGAGGATTTTGTTTGATTTCTTGTCATTTCTAAAGGAGGTCGTATTAAAAAGACTTAGAAAAAGAAATTTTATCTTGATTAGCTATAGTTCTTTGAGCAATATAACTGCATTATCGTTATCGAATTCAACACGTCAAATTTAATTTTAACCCCGTGCCTCGTGTTCGGGCCGTAGCAAAATTTTAAATAAAATTCCACGTTAAACCCATAAATAAGTTTCGTGGAACAATATTATGTCATATTCGAGAGAGTGATAGGTCTTTGTTAATTCATTGTCTCAATTAAGGATTCAAACAAGCTATGCTTTCCTGCTATTAACCATAAAATAAGTTTATTGAAGAATAGCAATGACGCCATCTATTGACAACGTGATCCATCGGAGGCAGCTGAAGTAAGTAAATGGCGCAAATATGAGTTTATGTTTGGATTATGTATTTGTGCCATTTGCTGTTGAAACTTTGGGTCCGTGGGGTCCCCGCACATCAAATTTTTTAAAGGTTTATGTCCTAGGCTTAACGCCGCGGCTGGTGACAAGAGAGCTGGTTCTTTTCTCGCTCAAAGGTTAGGCATAACTATTCAGCGAGGAAATGTAGCTAGCGTTCTTGGCACCATGCCGCGTGGATTAGGTTTATTAGATAATATGTAATTTTAGATAGATTTAATCTTGTAATTATTATATCAATAAACTGTATGATTTTAATTCCACGTGATATCCTAATCATGATAATTCTCACGGGTCCACTAATTATTTAAGTTACGAAAGAAATATTTTTAAACTAAATGGAACTTTGTAAATTAAATTTAATATTCAATTCTATTGTATATGTAAACGTGGTACTTACCAAATGACGTTCAGTGCAGAAATTTCTCATATTATAATATGTATATTAGGTATTTTATTATTAAATTAAATTTTAATTACTTTTATCAAATTAAAATCGAAGAAAATTGTCGAATTTCTTCAACACACTGGGTGTTAAAAAACAAGGCCTACCTGATTTGCAATTTTTATTCCTTGTTTACAAATGATATTTAAAAGAAAGTATAATTTTCATCAGACATTTAATAGGATGTAGGTGTTTAATAAATGAAAATAAAAGTGTTTTAACTCTCTAATTTTGTGCTTTATTTCGTAGAACAGTTATTAGTGTTTTATTTATTGTAAAAAAAGCTCCCTAAAATAGCGAGACAGTTAACCTGCTGTACTGCTCATATAACTAAATGCTCATGTAAACTAACTAAAGGCTGTGGATTTTGTTGCTCAATAAAATAAAATAAAATAATTATTATTTATTATTTTTATACTTATTTCCATCTCTAGGATAACGCCTCCCAAAACAAGCTCTACATTTTACTGCAACCAATGTTGGTTTGGTCGAAGCTCGAACCAAAGTTTAGTCCGATTGCCTCGATACTTGCGAGACGTTGCGTCCCTTTGCACATTTCATGACGGCTACCACAGGCAGTGCTCTGAGGGTTGTTTAGCTCAATATCTGCTTTTGATTTCTACACCACACAAGGCGGCAAAGCGTCAAAAACCCACCTCGATGGTTGGCTGTCCACTGAGAGTGATTCACGAAATTTTCCGCCAAGTGCGACTACTTTGAAAAGTGAATAATCAGCGGTATTCCTGGGTTGAGGTCGGAAGTAATTTCATATCTCCTCTCTGCTTGTGAAAGAGCATGGGCGCAGGCGGTAAATGCTTTTATGTCTCCTACTTGTACACATACTTACGACAGCTCTGGTCTTGTGGCAGTCAATGGATTGTAGTGAGTGATACTATCAGTTGAGCTACTTTCATCAATATTCACATATATTTAAGGATGTCTACATACTTCCCGATTTCAATCATATACTGCAGTTAGAATCATATGACTCGGTGACGCCGTTGGTAAGTAAGCTATTGGCTTACATCATACACATTAGTGAACATCTGGCCGCTGAGCATGTCGGTGTAGGGAGGGCGTCGAGGAACCATTTTATTTTTAATTTATAAAATTATTCGCTAGCTGATAACCATTATCACTAACCGACTTGTAAAATACGGTTTCCCGATAGCCCGATGACGGTCATCATAACTATGTAATTGTATTTTGCTACTTTTACTTCAGCATATGATTCATCGGTACGGTGGGCCAGCAGCCTCAGATGTCCATGGGCGGCGGTATTCATTTAACATCAGGTGAACCGTCTGCTCATTTGGCCACTTTCACATAAAAAAAATCTTCATCATCCTGCAACCCCTGTCCCACCTAGGTGGGGTCGGCACATTGTTGAGTCACTTTGTAAGTGGTTTTGACTGTGATTTTTACGACCGGCCGCCTACCTGACGTCAAACCCTCCTCGGGAAACGAGCACCCAGATCCGGAACAGCTATCTGTGGGTCACACAAACACTTGTCCCGTGTGCGAATCGAACCCACGACCCCCACGCCGAGGCCGAAATGAACGATGAAATCGAAAAGGTCAACCAGTAACTCACGTAGCGTGTGATGCCAATTAATAGTTTAAATTGATAATGTGGCAATTACAATGGCGGCTACCGGACGAGATAGGACGCCGTCCGGCATTGCCGCAAAGCTTCCGCGGCTAGAGAGCCGATAACGCCGAGATTGCGAAATGTTGCCAAATTCGCGCCCCTCCATGGCGGCGCGGTCGGTCGCGTTGCGTAAAAATCGTAGTAAGTACTATTGTACACTACTATTTTACTATTCGTATTTAATTATGACGCATCACTATCATCATAGTATAAAACAAAGTCGTCCCGCTGTCTGTCTGTCCCTATGTATGCTTACATCTTTAAAACTACGCAACGGAGCATGATGCTGTTTTTTTACTAGGTAGTGATTCAAGAGGAAGGTTTATGTGTATAATACATTGCAGCCGTGCGAAGCCGGGGCCGGTGGCTAGTTAAGTAATAAAACTGAACTAGCCACCGGCTAGCACCGACTGTCAACCCTCACCTTCGGCAGCGCCTCGGCTCGGGTAGACATTTGTCGGAACTCTTTGCAATGACAGGCTTTCCGCACTCGTAATGAAATATACTATTTTCATGCATCCATATTATTATTTATCTTCGTCTTAGCTTTACTATCCTGCTGTGTCTTAAGCGATTGGAACTTGATGTACTGTTCAAGTGTTTATTAAAGTAGACTTGTGAGTAAGTACAGTAGTAAACCGTCGAACAGTGGCGAGTCAACTTGGCTTGCAAGGTGCCTTGCAACTAGATATTGTATTCATGGAGATGTACTCATGTATGCGTTAATTATGGCATGTCCCGTATAGAATCGCTTTCAATTTTTTATTGCAAGTGCACCCCTCGCGCGACTGCTTAACCCCCGCGGGGCACTTGACTCGTCACTTGCCGTAGCAAAAAAAACTGCGCGTATTGCTTGTTGTTTACACTACAGGGCTTGCTGTAGTATAAACATCCACTTGTCCGTGGCCGCCACTGGCCGCTGTACTTGTAGTCACCACTGGTCTTGACCAATGTAAATGGGACTTTACATTAATCAGATGGCCATGCATCAATACAGGTAACGAACTTATTTTCAGTATAAAGCTCTTTTGTATTTTCAATGCTTGTTAAAAATAACTATAAGAGCTTTATAATGAGAAATGAAAGTACCTATATTATTCTAAATTAAATGTAAAATACGACACATGCCGCGACTTAGCACCGATTTTGAACAGTTTTGACCGATTTGATAAAAGCGGGTACTTATACAAAAAATCTAAGCTAAAGATATTTGGGTGTTCATTTGCGATTTCCTGTTTGAAAGTAAAGAAACCATTTCATTTATGAATATAATGTTGATTACTGGTGAAAAAAGTGGGTAACCTACGACAGGAAAGTGCGAAATTAAATCATGAACAAAAATGTAGTCATGATCCTCTGAGTGTAACGTGTTAAGCGACCGTATTGCTTATGGGTTTCATAAGCAATACGGTCGCTTAAAAACTCTCTTTAAAACTCTTCGGTGGTATTAGGTTAACATCAAGAGATGACGTCAACATTTTTTTATCAGGAGTCTGGACTAATATTATATTTTCATTGAAATAATTTTTAGATATAATAGGATGTTTAAAAATCTAGTAGGAAAGGCCGTTGACCGTTTCAGTAGGCCATTGAAATAAAATGGGACGACAATGAATAGCGGATGTTTTGAATACTTAACATTATTTAAATGTACACCTAATCAATAAAAGGATTAGAATAACAAAACAACTTTTCAGGCTCCCAAGCAAACCAACACTGCTAGACCTCAAGACACCATTAGCTCCTTTTGCGTAGATCGGAATAAAAATAAACAAAATATTTGACGGTAGCCGGAGTTAACTATGACATCAAGACGTGTAACAACTTAGTCTGTCCCGTGACCATGAACGCTGGAAAGGGTTCGAAACGTCGGGAAATTAAAATCAAAATAAAAACGCGATAAAATCCGTAAACTAGTTTCATTTAATATGTATAATATTCGCGTAAAATCAAGATGTCAATAAGAGGTTGTAGAAACTACGTTAAAATGAACAATTTAAACTTCTGCTTAAACGAAAGCATTTCATTGCTATGGAATTGCTGATTTTGTTGTAAATTGGCAACATAATTATCGGTTCTTCTATATCAACGGGTTAATTTCGGGTCAATAAACTAAAGAGCGACTACAAGCTATTACTATTATTATTTTCTTGTTGTCCTTCCTATTCCTATCCTTAACTGTTAAAGGTGTAGTGGTAAAAGTAATTTAATTTTCATCAGTTCTTGTATTTTAGCCATTGCTACACAAAGTTAAACATAAACAACACAAAGATAAAACAAAATGCGATAAATCTCTAAAGTAGTTTTATTTAATATTATATTATCAATATACTAACCAATTTTATCTTATAAAAAAAAAAAACTAAAAATAGAATAAAAAACAAGTGACTATTTGAAATACTTTTTCTCTTCAGCTCTATTTTGGACAGTATTTTGCATTTTGACAACTGTGTATTTTTTAATATATATAGCATCATTTAATACTACTATGATATTACGCATTGTGATAGAATTGCTTGGAGCTGTTTCCCTCTGGACTCCTCCGATGTTGCAAGTGCCCATTGGCGGCGTTGATCGCTTACCCACGGGCCGCTTGCCCGTTTGCCTCTTTCATAAAAAAATGGCGTGCCAACGTTGGACGGAGTTTCGGGTGTAAAAAGTGCCACTGCAGGAGCTTTGAGCCCATTGATCGCGGCTTTCATGAATGGCGCGGCGTGGCTTGGTGGGGATGGGTGGCGCTGGGCCGTGCGCCGGAGTCTTGCCGAGTGCCGCCAGTGGGCAGTGTGAACCGGCGCGGCAGCGCGTACCGTCCCGAATTGTGGCGGGAAAACGACTCGCGCGCCACTAGACCGAACTCGTTCCAGTGTTCTGTGCTATCGCTGCGGATACCCAGGTGCCCTTTTCTGGCATGCCGCTGTAGCCATGGCCATGTTAAGTCTGAGGTAAAATTATCTTTATCCGCATGCGCGCGCTTTTGTGTTTTTTCTTTTTCAATTTTCAGTTCTACTAATCGCCGCTCGTAGGGCGATTCTTCCGATTGAGAGTCCATCGGAGTACTATGCTATTATTTTTGGTTGCATTTCCACCGGTCCGGACATAATTTTTACGTCGACATCTACGTTACATCTAATAACTTTATGGATCATAAAATGGAATAGGGAAATAGAGATATTTCAATTAGATTTTGTAATTTTTCCTTCATTTTAATAAAACGAGGGCGGATACTTTTAATGGAAACTATGTAAATTATTTTTTTTTGGACCTTACTTTCCCATGACTTATATTTTCTTGTAAATTTGCTTATGAAGAGTTTATTATTTCAGTTTTTATATCAGGGAAATTATATTGCATATTGGGTAAATTCGGATTTGCTGCTGATGTCATATCGGGATTGATTTACAATCCCGATATTATTTTATGCTGGTAATGCCTAGTGTTGAAGACACTCAGTAAAAGCCTATTCGCTCGAGGTTTTCTTCTCCGTTGATTAACGTAAATTATTGCTCACGAGAAATATTTGAATTACTTAGATATTATAAGAATTTTACTTAACTTAGATGAAGTCTTTTGGAAGCTGTAACATATTCAGTACCACCGATTAAAAAAGCAGAAAAGATCCAGAAAATATTAAAGCCGTGTGGAACACGAATATTGTCACGTATTTGAATCTTGGGCTTTCAATATCACGTTAGACACTAATCAATGAGTGATTAACATTCGATTAGGTCTTGAGTGCTTCGAAACATGCTTCGTCGACTTTGGGCGAGTTACACTGATGAAAAATGATGATCCTGATTAAACAAACCCATTGCTTTGTAAAATTATTTCCAGTATGTTCTATTTCATTTCGGGTATGCTATACGAATATTGCGATTTATTATTTTTTTATATGTTATTTAGTAGCCAATCGACACTTTTGGAAAAAATCGAGGAAAAAAATACAGATTTTATCACTTATTTATAAATAACAAAGTTGGTACAAGAAAAATAAATAATACCAGATACTCAATACCATTTAACAACATTCGTAAAGGATTCGGGAAGACATGACCATTGTATGTACAATGCACTTTTGACGTTTATTCCATAAATAAAACGCCAGCAGCAAATGTCCGGTGTACAATTATCTGTCATGTCCTTATCTCCTAGTACCACAGCAGCTTGTATACAATATGTGTTGAAATTAATTCAGCTGAATAATAAATAAAAATGACATTATAATTATTTCCCACAACTACCTCTTTCCGTAAAAATGGGCGAGAATAAAAAACCATCCAAAATGAAGGATTCTCCTAAATTAACACGTATTGGTGAATAATGATAAATGAGGATTCTTCTAAATTACATGTATTGGTGATTGTCGTGTGTGAAGTGAAGACTTCTTCTATAGGCGCATTTGGCAATTTTAGTTCGGGAAAAATCTGATGACTCCGTGGCGTTGCCAAGGTGTTGGTTTCCACGGGTTCGATTCCCACACGAGACAACTATTTGTGTGACCCACAGATAATTGTTTCGTATCTGGGTGTTTGTCCATGTGGTATTTATGTATGTAAAATGTCCTTACAACACAGGTTATGTTATCCTAAGGTAAAAAGGCAATTTTTCAAATGGAACACAATAGCCCTTCTATTGTGTTCCATTTGAAAAATTGCCCTTTTACTACTAGAGCCTTTCACGGTGGTAGGGCCACGCAGCAGTCTCGGCTGTTGCACGAATGGGTAGGCTCGTCCGGATAAATACCACGACTTCACAGAAGACCGCTGTAAAGTGGAAGTATAATACTTTCGCATTTCGTCTGGTGAGTGAGGTGGCCGGAGCCCAATTTTTAAGAGGTTGTCAACGCATCTGGAACCCTCGGGTATAGCAGATGTCCATGGGCGGCGGTATTCACTTAACATCAGGTGAACTGTCTGCTCGTTCGGCAACTATTTACATTAAAATAATACTAGAAAGACCTATTTTTCTATTGGTCGCAGTGGTCGTTGGAACTTATTATCCAACTCCTTCTACACAAAAGAAAAATGCTGAAAAATTCATAGGTGCTCTTCAGCGATATGGTAATGTCACGTGTATTGAGATTGACGTTGGTAATGTTAAATTATTGAAACGATTTGGTTTTCTAATATTTGATCTCTGTAATAAATACTACAGTTGTTGAAACATTCAAGTTGTACGATAGTATTTTTGTCGCGCATTTAAAAATTACAATTCTATAAAATTTTATAAAATAGCTTATTTTTAAATAGCGTTTGTGTCATTTTAATTATTCATAATGTATTTTCATTTGAAAATTCCAAAAAATTGTTTTTTCAGTTTTATATTTTAAGTTTCTACCGGCAATCTGTATGAATTATCATGATCTTACCGTTTCAAATCTAAGTTTGTTCGTAAATGAAATATATCTTATGGGATAAATTTCATAATAAGGATTTTTTTTAATAAAAAAGTATGATATTGTTAAGTTATTTTTTACCAGTGACACTTGCAAATTATTGTGGGATATCCCCGCGTCCTTTGTATGGAAGAACTGTCAATGCAATACCTTTAAATCTTGGTCTCCATCTTATAAGTATATCACATTTATTCAAATAATAAAATAAGATGAAAATGATAATTGTACGAGATCATTTGATGTTCGATTTTAATTTTGTTATGGCGAAATGAACGTTACATATTTTCGTATCGTGTTGCTTGTTTTAGTTTTTTCTTGTACCTGCAAGACAGAGTAGTTCTACGTTTTCCTATATTTTGATTTACCCGAGACAGAATAAGAGGCTCACTGTAGCAGAGTACAATTATTATTTAAGTACAATTAAATTGGTTTGACAGAGTGGAATGGTTTGAGAGAGAGTGGAACCCAGAGACCACATAATAAACGCCTTCATCCAGTTGCAGGCCCTTACAAGAAAGACGAGGGAATTCAACTTAATAGCATACTATGCCCGATGGTTTAAGCATAATGGTTAAGAGAGAGTGGAACCATCTTTATAATAAACTCCTTCATGAATTAACAGGCGTGTTATCTTCTCGATTGTGTTATTTACATACTTCCGCCGATGGTTTAGCTGTCAAAGCAGCATCTTTATAACAGCAAACCTAACACGTCACAAAAAAAAATATTTAGTAAGTTTAACTCACGTAACTTTTAGGCATTATAAGCCTAGTGATCGAGTATAAATTGAATTGAGCGAGTAAACCAAATAAAAGTATATCCAAAATGAATAGAAATATAATATATAAATACAAGACAATAATATAAAATATATAAATAATCTATAAATATATGAGACGCAGGTTCTAATACCGCACTGTTCTCTACTGATCTGTTAAAACTCATATTTTATTCATAACAATTATATTGTGAAAGCAAATTATTTAATACAATTTAAAGCACATATCTCGGATACTATAATTATATTTGTACACGAAATTACTAATATTTTTTACAAAGTTTAAATTACTAATATTAATCAGTTTGGTGATTTGACTTCCACTTAATTACAGAGATATCATATAACGCGATTGGTGCAGATGTTATTTTTTTTTCCATCAAAATAAAAAAAAACATACATTTTATCTATCATTCTATATTAGAAACAGGCGAAAAAAACTGCGTAGGTCACCTCTTTTTAGTAATTTTTTTTCTTAAAACAAAAGTATTATGCAACTGATTTTTTTTTCTGTAAGAACTAGCTTGGGAGCGATCAACTCATTCCCAGGGGCTAATTTCATTAAAGTCTTTCTTTAATAAATTTCTTAAACCTATTAATATAGGCAGAAATTATTATTGTTAATTTGTAGAAATGGTCACGTAACGAAAAAGTGTTATTGGTCTCTCTCTCCATTTGACTCTCGGCGGATCTCGGAGTCTCCTTTTTCTGTTTCTTTCTAATGCCCGTTTATTAATTGAGCAACACAAAGATTTTAGATTCTGAACATGATACACTCTTGCATTTTTTCTCTACACCGCTTTTGACTTAATTTATGCAAAAAATGTAATAAAATCCACAATCAGAAAAAGAACAAAATCATCTGTATAATGAATGCCTGTATATTACCTGTAATCAAGACGCGATACGCATATAGATAATGAATGGCAATTTTTTCCCCTTTTTAATGTAAACCTCTTAATTTAATATATGTTTATTATACTACTGTACAGATATAACAACGTTATTACTTTTTTAATTATCCAGAGAGCGCCTTGACTCAAAACCCAATGTCAAATTTTGCTATGTAAGTTTTTGTTATTGCTGGCAAAACAATTATTCAACAAAAAAGACCTACCTCCCCCACTTGTCAATGGTATAAAAATCAAAAAACTAAGAATGGCTTAATTTCCTTTTTTTTTATAGAACCTCGTATTTAATTATTTATACTGTTACATTATAAAACGCTCTTGAAATTTAATAAAGTGAACATGAGTGGTAAATTTTAATCATAGAGGTTTCTAAATTTAATTTGGTATAGTGTATTTCCTGTATCGATAATCAAATGCATGCAATCATTGTGTAGTTTAAAACTTATTGCGGAAAGTTTTCTTGCAGGCGTTTAATTGTCATATAGGTAGTTATCTTATCTTATCCTTTAAACGAGCAATGCTTGTATATATATATATAATCGGGATCTCGGAAATGGCTCCAGCGATTTTCATGTAATTCGGGGGCGAAAAATCGATCTAGCTAGGTTTCATTTTTAGAAAATGTCCTTTTATCCCTGTTTTCAGGGAATGAAAAATATAATTCGAATATGACGGTAAATTTCGCCGCAAGAGAAAATGTCATAATAGCTCGGTCGGTAATCGGGCGGCCCCAAAACAGACGGCCGTGGTTCGCGTCACGATCATTTACACATTTATTTTTTACTTTTTTTTCGATTCCAGATCATTGCTTTCTTTATTTTTAATTTTTTGTCGATTTGTTATTTTGTTTTTTTTTTTTTTTATTTTTTTTAAAGTTCTTTCTTTTGTGAAAAACATCAGTTCATATTTTCTTATTATTACGTCGGTAAGATCGAAAAATATTATGCATATTTCATTACTCAGTAATT